CGAACTACCACACCGGAACTTTGCTCACCTGTGATATTTCTTAGATGTTTATACTAGCAATTCGAAGTGATCATCAGGTCACTGAAGCATCTTGCTTGATGTAGCAGCAGTTTAATCTTGGGCTTTACTAACGTCACCGTGCTTAATCACGTTCACTCAGGCAAAAAGTTGCGTCCAAAGTACTCACTTATGGTGGTCCCATCCCAATGCGTTGTTGTAGTGTATTTCCTCTTCCACAGGACAAAATTACTTTTATGCTTGCACCCTGGACTAAGGTTGCATCAGTTGTTCGCAATTTGTCATCTTTATAAGGAGTCGAACTTTGATCAAACATATACCCTAGTCAGACTGAATCAGGGACGATACCCGTCGCCTTTTTAAATTGCTGAAACGTCATATTCATTTGTCATAACTTGGTTTTATCTGTGTTTTTAGCATAAGTCTAGAGGCTGCATATTCACTCTTTACGGGGCCAACAAACACATTGTTGTTGTATGTATGCGATTTTTGGCGGATTCTCCTAAGGTAACGTAACTTTTTCCGCCTTAGACAACGATTGCTTGATAAAGATCGCTCGCGTGTGGTGGCAACATCGGATTCTCATTGACGGCGTTAGACATAGCCTTCTGGGAAACGCATTTCATTAAACGCGCTGGTTTAGATGCCTCTGTCACGTTCTACGGATAGCACCTGAGCGTTTGCGGCACCCTGCCCTATTCGCTCGTGCACGACCGGGAAGGTTGCGACCGCATGGTGGTCAGCCTTCCACAAGCCGGCAGCTCATGAAATCCTTGACTTCAGGTCTAGTCGTCGTTGGACGCGCACACCTTGCCGGATGGAGTCCCAAGGATGAGGAGTGTCAGTGGCTTAACATGCTTGAAGAATCGGAAAGCAGCCGGGACTGATGGAAGTAGCGTGCGCCCTTTAGAACCTTGATTATACCTACGTATATATCTTGATAACGGTGCACATTTTTCAGTGCCATGATGACAAGTGTTAAGTGAAGTAGGTCGGCGCCTCCCTCGCGTGTAAAGCCAAGTCGATGCATGTGCGCGATTTGGTCGACCGGTAACGGGGTTCATGTAATAAAAATAAACATGTGATCCAGTCATTTTATTTTCGATTGCAAATATAAATTATTTAAATTTCAGCTTATCTAGGAAAGGGGGCGCATGCTGCAAATTAAAATGTTGGACTACATAAGCTTTAAACCTATTTTCCTTGTTCAAGACGCAAAATACCGGTAACCGACGGAAAGTGCATACATGTGAATCTGCTAAACGTCTACACCGGGGGGTCACCAACCTAGCGCCAACGGGCCGGATCCGGTAGGCGGCGTCAGTCCATCCTGCCTATTGATCGTACCCAGATTTGCTTCATACATTGCAGGGTACAGGAATCGGTGGGATAAAAGTTACGCTTGACACTGCAGGCCTCGTGTTCGATGACCTTACACTCTGAACAGCAGTTTGGGACACCCCAGGGATTTTAATTGGGAAACCTTACTAAAGTATTATTATTGACCCCACTTCGTTCGAAACTTGATGCGAGTGATCAGGCTTGAAATCGATTTAATCGCGCAACCTACAGTGTTTCTGTGTACATCACATATTTGTGTAACAATATTGGGATTTTCCCGATCACTTGAAGCACGCGTCATATAAAACATGCATGCACGTATTAACATGGAGTCATAATTAGAACGAATTGTAGGTTGATAATCCGGAATTGCTATGGGGCATATATTTTTGAGGTTAATACATTTTAGTATTGCCAAACCCCAATTCTACTAATGGCCCATTCCTCACTATTTTCGGATGTTTTAGCTGAATTTTTATTAGATTATAATTCTTTAGATTTGCTAGTTCAGATCCGTAGTTTTAACCTTTGTTAAAACTACTTACAATAGAAGAGCGGATGCCGAGCGTTAGAATTTCACTGCTACTTAACCCAATAACTTTTATTCCGGCTCCCAACTGTTACGCGTAATGATTACACGATCCACACTAACTATTTTATCATTTATCCGTCCGCGTTTATCATTTTTCTAGTAATCAGGCTCTCGCAATTAAAATTTTATATCCATCCTACTCGCCGTGAAAATAGTTCCGTGACCCCTATTCTACACAGACAGGTTGAGGCTCATGAGACTTGTTGACAGGTTCCTAAATCAATGCTGGACCAGACATATAGGTCAGGTATACAATTTGTGCAGCAATGGACGACTCAGACTGCCTGAAAAGTTTGTCACATAAGCACGCAGATATGGACTTTTGACCGGTGTTGAATGGCGCAGCATTTATCACTGCAAAACTTACTCACAATCAGGGCAAAACTGAGGTAGTTTACAAAGGTATTGGCTCAAGTTCTCTTACAGTTCAATGTAAGCTGAGGGTAATGCTGGTCTAATCAACTCTTTTAACAGTGAACTCAGTCTATCGGACCAAACGTTGTCCACACTTGCTAGCCGCTATACTGCATAGTGATGTTTTCAAATTCAGTCATTATCGACCACTTAAATGCCCTCTATGAGAAAGAGTAGAAAAAAACCAATCAAACGGATTTTAAGTCTACCGGCCTTCCGACAAATGTAATACTAGGTAATTATGCTGTAGAGCAAGCATTAGGCTGAAATATTTTCTGAGTTGGATATATCATGATTGCTTTATGAGAGACGATATGTTTACCCCTCGACTACCTAGTGATAAGGGCGCGGTAAAGGAAGAGGTTTTCCAAATAATGTAGCAAGTCTCAATTTGTTTCCTGACGAGCTAATTTGTATCTAATTTCATTTCATAGATAACACCTGACTGCATGGTGACAAAACATTTTATTATTTTATCGGTGCGTATTTTTATACTATGCCGTCAGATGCCTGTTCCTGTAGATATGAAGATGAGCGAAAGCACAAGGTCCGTTTGGATTAATAAGCTGTGTATACATACCTCGTGTGCATTACTAAGGAATGATTCTAAGTTATTGGAAAGAAGTACTTTTCTTAAAGGGTGATTTATAATTTGTGTACAATTAAATGCGGTAGCCTTATGGTACACCGTCGCGCACTTGTCCTGTTGAGTGAGTAGTTCATTGTGGAAAAGACGGTTATGACTTAAGGCTTATGCGCAAGGAAGGTCTACTGTTATTTGCTATACAGCGTCATCATTTTATGTTGCATGGCTTTGTGTACTCTTACTAGTGCGTTTTCGACATCAATGCTATGAGAGCTAATAGCTGTTCACCACCGGAAGGATATATAAGTAAGCGTTGATGCTGATAAGCTATTTATGCTTCATAACAGCGGTAATCAACTCAGCCTCTCAATCTCAAACATGGATCAATCAATCTGTCTATATTTGAGAAAGATTAATACATTTTGACAACTTTCTATTGCACAATTTTTGGAAACTGCATTTCTCTTTTGTGTATACTACAATCAAATGCGCACCTTATCCGTTTCTCTGTATCGTGCTTCGCGATTTCGTTAGAATTTTTATGGGTTTTCAACTTGTTTATAGCTATATACAGGCTTAAAATTTTCTCTCAATGTAATACCTATTACCCGATGAGAATAACTCATAATTGTTAAGTCGATCGCCCAGTATCAGGACCATCCACTGGAAGTTGGTAGAAACTGCGAACGCCACATTTTCTCTCCTTATGAAAGCAGATCAGGCGCTAGGCTGTAGATGTTTTGTTACACTAAGCTATCTATATCATCAACGCAGTCACTTCTAAGACCAACTCTACCCGCAAGTGGAGGTTGAAAATGCATTGCTGGTTTCTGTAGACATGTTCAGCAAAGATAATATGGCAGAAACTGAGTGTAGTCTCATCTCACCAAGCTATTTTTAGCCTTTGTAACTTGGTTTGTGTAAGCAAAGGTATGAAGCAATATTCATATTGAGTTTAGAGGGAGTCTGAGGCATGACACTATGCTGCTCGTAATGAAATTAATCTGATAACGTCTGTAGCGATGTAGTTTTCATAACATTAAAAGGATGTAACAAGTGACACCATCTCTCATGTATATGCTGAGGAAGGCAAATAAGCTACTATATCATTAGCCCGCTGCAACCACATACAAGGATGTAATAAGTTTCCTTATGTCTGCAGAATTGTTGTGAAACCATCTTGTTCGTAGACTAAATGCACCTAACTGAATAGTAGTATTTGTCAGTGGAATTCCTATGTTTCGCTGTTTCCTTCAGATGCAACAAAGTAGACCAGTAACTATGATCGATTACCCGGTTCAGCTTCACGGAGAATATACAAAATATCTAGGCTTTACAAATAGCACTACGTTTGTCCATCAGATATATCACTGTACATTACCTACCTTCTACTTTAAGTAATGGCTGTCAGGAGGTTATAGTTGAATTTTGTAAGACAATTCAACTGGTTGTTTTAAATTCTAAACCTCTTTTTGTACACATCTGCTCAAGTAATTGCAGCATACTCGGGATAGACCTTTAGTCTATGCTACTAATTCAATGCAGGCAACTCTGTTGACGTTGTGACGCTTGCATGGCATGATTTTGTGAAGTAAACGCTTCACTTCTATTGTAGCAGTCAAACACACGTGAATTAGTTCGTTGATACCTAACTAGTTAGATGCGAACAATATAACGTGGGTGACCAAAGAAAGCTTCAAAGGAAAACGCTTAAGCTCCACGGCCCCAATCTATAGGAATGTGCTCCGAATTAATCGAAGATTTTTATATGAATTTAAGTAAAAGTGGTTGGTAATCTTCGTTACCAGACGCTGCGCAACATCTAAAATTATGCTCAGTGCAATAGCATGCAATGGTCAACGTATTTGTTTAATATGCGACCTGTCCACCTAACCAATAACTACTTGGGTTGTACAAGTTCGATTGTACAACCTAGATTGTACGCCTTCTATAGAAATATGGTATTGAGCATGTTCAAACATGTGTTGAAAGTTCATTAAATGAAAGAAACCCATTTGGAAAATTGACAAAATTTGCGAAAGTAACGCTGTCTGAATGCACGTTTATTGGACAATAGGAAGTGAATTGGCGCATCGCTTGTGCAACAAACACTGCTGCACTGCGGTCGTTGACATCACAGAGGCTCACTTGTTGTCACTGCGCATTGCCGAAACCGCGAGCGAAATCAGAAGCACCTAGAAAGACAGATAGTGATTAAAACTAGCAGATGAGGATAAGTAACTTGTGTTTCTCGCGTTTATTTCACCTACTACATTATGAGAACTGCAAACTTGGAATTCATGCAGTGTGCCTGCCTTCGTGACTAAAGCTCCTAATAACAACGATTTTGAGCATTCAAAAAGAGACCAAAACTGGGCCCGATTCATAATAAAAAATATATGAGCGCAACATCCAGAGTATGAATTTGCATGTTATTATAAACTTATTAGCCAATAAGAAATTAGAGAATGGCATAATCCAGCAAATAATGGTGTAGAATTAAGATTCCGGCTGTAACTTGCACTTTAGACGAAATCGATCATTTTTCTGTTTTTAGCAAATAAAACATCTTAAAATTAATTTAAATACTTTGATCCAAACTGCGTGACGAGCGCCGTTGTTATATGTAGTATTCTACCCATGGTGTTTATATATATAATTTAGCTTAAAATAATGCTGTTAACATAAATATATATCCCATTTTTGCCACTTATTGTTGGGACTGCTTTATTACCGATGTAAGCAATTTGTTGTCTTAACGTCTAAACACAAATCATTTTACATGCCGACAAGAAATTAGTAAGCTGAGGATAGGTTATTTGGCAAATGATGTATTACTGCAAATATAGTAATCTTCTTAAGCATTATAAGACTCACCAGAACCGCGAACAATGCAATGAAAGCGTAGGCAACGTAATCCAAATACTTCAGGAAAGCTGCCTTTAGTGGTTCATGGCAGCCTATTCCAATGTTACTGTTCTCAATGTTAAACTCGTTGGGACAATTTTTTCCCGTTATTTTATACAATGAATCCATTTTGCAGCAGGGAATCGGATAAGATAAATCTGAGGAGGCATGAATCAGGGTTGAATACAAAGTTAACAGGTGATGAATTCCCCATTAGAATACGCTTTTAATGAACGTCGTATCATTGAGGTTCAAATTGATTTGCTTCGTAACCAACAATTAACTCATGGTTTGACACGCAACAAGATGCTTAAATTTGTTCTAACTTTGTGGGTCATTAAGATTTTCATGTCTCAAGAAACTTAAGTGTTTCGACGTAAACCAAACATAGAACCATGTTCATGGAATCCAGTAGGGTTTAGCACATATATATAAGTACAAGAGCTGGGATATTAGATTGCAACCTAATGTTTCCGAAGCAAAAATAAGCCAAATCTATCTTCAGGTGGCTACCACAGAAAAAGACGGAGGTTCTTCCTGGAAAGCCTTTGCTTTCCTGATGCTACTATCCAGAGCACCTGATGTCTAGCCTATGAACTTAGAGATGAATAATACTGACTATTTGTTGTGACTCCGAGATCAATTTAATTGCTCACATCGATATTTATTATAGCATTCGGGCTAGTATCATGACAGGTTGAATTAGTGTACGTCACTGTCTGGCTAATACGTACCTCATAGGATGAATTGTGACACTCTCCTTCTCAAAAGTGAATGCGCTTTCCAACAGCAACCCTAAGCTGTTAACATAGTCCAACTACTCCATCGGAGATTTCAGTAACCCGAATTCTAGTTTCAAATTATTGTTACAGCTCTCAGTGATACAGTTTACGATCGCGTCCCTCTAAGATCTCCCTCTACCTTTATAGTTGCGCATGCCTCACGTGACACATTGGCATGTGGAACCATCTGCTATGCTTGACACCTTCCTGTTTCCCAGCCTCTATGCTAATTTAAACATTGATCTGCTTCCGCCGCGCAACAGTTGTAGGTCGAGCTCACGCCGCTTGCGTTTTATTTTACTTGCAACCCATGTAGTGATCACACTTACACATGTACACCGCGGTGAATCGTGACCTTAGTGTGATCATCCCACCCCATTGGTTTACAAGTCACATTGACAAGTTTTGTCAGGCATAGTGACTTGTACTGTAGCCGTTTGAAGCCTAAACATTTGGCTAAGGGAGAGAATTTGCAATCGTTGTATTTTTGTTGACATTAAAAGCTCAATTGTAGAATACATTTATCCAGCTCCTGTTAGGGCTCAGGATGTTACCGGTCGAAAAACGTTTAACCAGGCCAGTTTAAGCGATATTTGTCGATATCGTGCGAAACTGATCTGTATTGAAGCATGGAAACCGCGGTAAACAAAGAGATTACTGGTCCCATAGGTTTGTAGAGGTAAAATCCGCAGGAATAACAAGGAACGTGTCAAGAAAATTGGGTCGGCACAAATATAGATGACGTGATGTTCGGATGTAATATGTTTACTTTTGGGAACACACCGACTGGTTTCTTTATGTAGCCTTCTGGCTAACGCAAATTATACAATGAAATTGCGAATTGGACGCGGCTTCCTCAATATGTCCTTTAAAAGTAGTTACATTGGTTGCTGAAAGCAGTTAAGCTAACAGAACGTTTTACAGCTGACGCACCCAAAGGAGAATAAATTTCGACGATTTTCTAGCTGGCTACGACGTATTGTCAACTTTAACTGATGACCCCTTAGGTTAGTATCGTGGTTTAATTCCAGCAGTCGAAAATAAACATGGTTCGTATTTTTCGTAATCTGGTAAACTGTTATGAAGTCCCACCGCAAACATCGATATGTACTGCTGCACAATCCTTGTAAGTTCAGTCTTAGCTAGTAGAGCATATGGAAGATGCCCATAACGTTCCTGATTGCCCTTCGTTTAGGAGTATCGACAGCAGCAAGCTTTTGCTTCTGCCACGGTTTTCAAGCTTGGATGGCGTATTCCACATGCGGCCGCACGTAGGCTTTCAGCATTTGTGGGAATATTAAAGGGACAAACCAACCAAATGCACTGTGTAGAATGCCGACGTGTTGATTACGGTTTCTTGACTTCTCAGCCAGTTTCGTGCAGCCAAGTTCGTCCGGAACCAGTACCCTTATGCCAAGTTCCCGGAAGCATTTCCTTCATGTGTAGTCTTCAAGTTTGTATACGTTCACCTGCTGATATCGCATATTAATCATCAATTACTTACCCGTGCTAAACTGGATTATTTTCTTCACTGACTATATACGAGCATAATCCAGGTTATATTGAAGGATATTATGGTCATCATTGCGATTAATCGCCTGCCTATCTTGACAACGGAAGAACCACTAAACTCGAGGCGATACTTCCTGTCAAGTGGTTGCTAAACATAAAAATATGCTCGACTTCAGTAATGAACCCTGTGGAGCCACGCATTTTCCAAAAATTGATTTGGAGAGTCGTACCTTAAGACGCAATCAAAGCGTTCGTTGGTTAAATAGTTGACGAATCACCGTAGGATAGGATTCCAGACGCTTTAGCACTGTAGCCTGAGAAGTGAAATGCGATGATCAAGGCGGTTGCAAGCTTTGAAAAAGGCTACATAGATGACGTCAATTACTGTCCTAACACAGGTCGCTCTGATTTAACTACCTCGTGCCATCAACAATTTGGTGGTACATGACCGATGTTGAGGTAGCTCATATTGCTCTGGTGACAAGACGTTACATTTATTTTTAACTAGTCCACTAAAGCCTCGACGAAGAGCGCTTCTATCACTTTTGAGAATACAGGAAGGAAAGACAGAGGACGAGAGTTTGCAGGATAAGTACAGCTGTTGGTTTGAAAAATTTAGGTTATAATACCTTGCTTCCAAGTAGTTGGGGCTAGTCTTTCATCTGAAAGTATTTGAAAGACCCGCGACCGTCTCTGTCAGGTCTGTATTCGCAACCCGCTGTGCATTCGGGCGATTGTTGTCGGCTCCTGGAGAGCTATGAACATACCATACGAGCAACTTCCTTAGCACGCTTGCTCTGTTAAATCTTACATATGTAGCAATTCGAATTGGGAAAGTGGATGTGTCATGTAATAGGGACAGGCTGAACTTTCAAAAAGTGGGGCATATTGTAGCGGCAGGTTCTTGGCTGGTTTGTCAGCGCATTATTCCTCGCTTTGCCTTATAAAAACTGGGGCATGCCATGCTTTACATTACACAGGCTGTTTACATTCCCTTAAAACCAGTTGTTTTTAGACTGTCGCTTTTGGTTAGGCAAGTTAGTTAGGTTAAGTTGTCTCCATGAACAAGTAGGGCACAATGGTTGCGGTGGGTCAGGAAGCTGCACCGATTTTCTGGGTTGTTGTTAGACTTGTAAGCATGTTTTGCTACATCCCACATTGCCCAGTATTTTCGGCTATTTTTGTAAGAAGTGATGGTCATTTTACTGAAAAGATAGCTTGTTTCCAGGGATCTGTTAAACACGCTACTAAGGCTCTGAACGCAGTCCGCACAAACCATGTAATGTAGACCGTAAGCCGAGAGAACCAAAAAGGGCGCCTCGATGATTCTTTTCAGAATGTGAAGCATGTGGTTTTATGTGTTAATGCTGAATGTTCAGAGCGGCACTGTATATGGTGGATATAGCTAAAGTTTATGGCTACGTGTTTCTTACGAACCAATAAAATCTTCATTGTTAGCTCGCCGACTATGAGCTCTTTATGCGTGCACACTAGGTCCAGTGTAGGCGCTTCTTTACCAATTGGAATATCGTAAACGATGTAACGGGGTCGTGTAAAATATATAGCGATACATTCAAGCTAGCCAGCTTTGAACTTTTCATCTAAGGAAGCCGTTTACTCTAGATATTGTACATTAAATTCCGTGCAATTGTGATATGACTTTAGGTAATGCGTGCTATCCTGCACAGCGCAGGCAACAAACAGGAATCAAGTTCCGGAGTACATGGTGACAGCGATAAAAGATAGTTACGAGGAAAGCATGATTGCGTCTTAATCGGAGACCTCATCATGTGGATTTTTTGACCTTGAGTCTTTGTATCATTAAAGGTTGCCTAGTTTAGATCGCTGCAGTATTCCAGAAGAACCCGACCCCCCCTGAAGTTGCGATCGCCTCAGATGAGATTCCTGGTATCTCGACCTCAGCCTCTGCAACTTTGTGTAACCAGGTATCAGTAATGAAAACACAGCCCAAATCACTCTGTTTAAATCAGCGTTTCGTTGCACTGCCTCGAAACTCTGCTTTTGCTGTATTACTACCCATAATTATAGTTGCAAATTATTTCTTTGCAATTATCTAACCCAGCTTAAACAGAGCTGTTCATTGGACCTATATTTACAGCATTATCACGTATGAATATTGTATTCGGCACCGCAGGAATTTCGTTAAAACCTACGCACATTTTATTCGTCCACTTTCAGCACATACTTTACTTGTTGACTTTATTCGACAGTGTCCTCAGCACTGTCAAGCCGTTTATATTTTGGAAAATTTTGACACACCGGTTGCTAACAGCAACCAATTTAGCAGCTAACATCTTAACACTCTCCAAACTAGCACGACTTTAACCACGTTCGTCTAAGTTCAAGTTTCTAGCAGACCGGATCCAGGCCAGGTCGATGGCCAAGCACTTACCACCTAAAACACAAGTTCCTATGTTGAACTCTGTTGGCTTTCGTTATCAACTGTGGTCACACACGTAGGATGAGAGTAACTAGCGCAGCTTACATGTCCAGACACAATCGGTGCGCTAAACGCTGGTAATCCGTCGTAGATCGGAATTTATCCACTGGATTTGCGATAGGCCTCAGCACAGTTCGCAACACCGTACCAAGGAAAACAACATCTGCGCGGACAACAGGACCACAGAAAAAATGTATTTATGGGTTAACGTCTTGCTGAGACTATTCGAATTGCAGTAACATGTTGCAACCCCACAAGTAATTCCGTTTCAAATCTATATAGTTAACATTAGCGGAGTTAAAAATATGACACAGCAAGCCAGACTATATTTGTTCTATAAAGAGGGTGCGAGTAACCTTCTGATAAATTGCATGGCCGTAGTGGCACATAATTATGACAAACG